ACACCCTTGCTGGCGATGCCTGCTCCGCGGCCTGCGTGCGCTGCAGGCGGTCAGCGCTGCGGCGGGCCTGCGCTTCGCGCTCGTCCTCGTCGATCTCGGTCTTCCCCGTGAGCCCGCGGCCCTTGTCTGCGCTTTCAGTGCCCGCCTTCGAGATCAGCCGCGCGACCTGGTATGTGGGCCACGGGACCTGCCCAGGCACTGGGATTTGAGGGTCGCGCTTGCGCTCCAAGGACTTGGCCCTGACCATGGTAAGTATCACGCCCTCGCCGCGCATCTCAAAGGCCCTCTCTCACGTCGCCCAGCGCCTGAGAGTCTCGCGCGCTGTCCCGATCCGATCCAGGATGTCCGCTCCAGGATGTCGCTCGCGAGCTGCTGCGCCTGCTGAGCGTCGCCTGCTGGGCCTGCTTCGACTCGGACTTCTGCGTCGCGCCTTGCATGTGCAAGCGGTGCTCAATGCGTTGCAGGCTGGCTTATATTCATTCGCCCACGCCAGGGGCCGCACCACGGCGGCCCCCCCCTGCTGCCGCGACGCGCCGCTGGGCTCCGGCAGCGGGTCCCGGGCGCAATCCCGAGCGAGCCCGCGCCTCTTCTCGACGGGCTCCTCCATGGCGCCTTCGCCCCGGGAATTGGCCTGCTCCCCCATCTCGGGGGGCGTCTGCCCGTCGTCGCGGCAAGCCGCCGCGGCGGCATCATCGGCGGGCTGCGCCGTCGCCGCGGCGGCGTCATCGGCGGGCTGCGCTGCCGCCGCGGCGGCCCCGCCGATAGGCTGCGCCAACGCCGCGGCGGCCCTGCCCGCAGTCTGCCACGCGTCGGGCTTCGCGCAAGGCTCGATTTCCACTGGCACACGGCGGAACTCGCCAAGGCGGGCAGTCGCCTGCATCTTGCGGAGGCGCATGTCCATGGGCCCAGCTTCGGACGCCACGGGGGCTGCGAGGGGCGAGGCCTTCCGCCCCCGCCCTTCCCCCCCCCGGGTCTTCGCGGGGGTGCTTCGCCGCAGAAGGCTTTGCCGCAGTCGCGGCCCTCCTCGCCGCCGCCCCGCCGAACGACGAGGTCGCGCGGTCGCGCGCGCGGCGGGATCCTGCGCCGAGGCGGCAACTGGCGGAGAAAGAGCTCAGGGGGCGAAGGGGGGGGGAGAGGGGAACTGTTCGACGGCGACGGCGACGGCGACGATGAAGAGGCGACGGAGGCGAGGATCGAGGAACGCGCGGGGCGGACGTCGAGGTAGAAAAGAAAGGGGATGAGGCGAAAGGAGGATGAAGTGGACGAGGCGAGACGAAACGATGATGGTCACCTCGAACTCGCGGGGGATGGCGGCAATGACGATGCGATGTTTCTGTAAATTGCCGGCCGCCCCTGCGCCCCTCGCAGCGGGGCCCGGCTCTGACTTCGCCTCTCAAGCCGCGATCGCGTCGCCGATCTTCTGGTCGAGCCACGCCTTCGGGTCGCCCTTGGCCTCGAGGGCCGCGTCGCCGACTTTCCCCTTATGGCAATCTCGAAGAGCTCTCCGTTCTTAGCGGTCCTCCTGCTGCCGATGCCCAAGATGTACTTCTGGTTGCCGTCGCGCAAAACGGCGTCGCCGCGCCCCGCGCTCGCGGGGCGACCGTCTCGAACGCCGCGGCCTCGGCCGTTTCCTGGCCAACCTTGGGCGGCGTCTCAAGCGACTGCTGCTTGCCGCGCAAGAGCCTCCGGATTGGTGCGCCCCGCATCCGCCCGCGGACCGCGCGCGTCTGGGTCTTCTCCTTCGCGCCTCTCTCTCTGCGCCCGCGCCGCTGCCCTCCGCGCCCTTGCCTCTGCCCTGCGTGCCCGTGCCCTTGGGCATCCCCTTCTTCGAACTCCTGACCACCCACTTGCCCCCCCCTTTCCCTTCGCGTCAACTTTGGCCTCTTTCCACTGGCCTCCGACCGCCGCGCCCGGGGCCCTCGGGGGGCCCTCGTCGTCGGACAGGGTCTCGACGAGGGCCCCTTCGCCGTTCCCCCGGCACGCCGGGCAAGTGCGCGACGCGCCGCAAAGCTCCGCATCGACCGAATGCCCTTCAGGGTCGACTTCGACCCATGTCGACCTGCGCCCGTCGCCTTCAAGATCGACCTCGGCCTCGGAAGAGTCCGCGACCACGATCGTTTCAGATGCGTCGGACACGCCCGCCGCTTCGCCCGTCTTCCACGTTCTGACCGGGAAAAGCGCCTTGACCACGGGCGCTTCCACGTCGGCAGCCGCGCAGCCTACTGGTGCGTCGGCGGCCCCGCTCGCGCTCTCGTTGGCGGCCTCGCGGCGGGCGACGGCGTTGGAGGCCGCGGGCGGCGAGTCGTGGCTCTCGGGGGGCTTGATGAGCTTCGCCATCTTCTGCAGCTTCTCCTGCGTGAGATTCCTCTCCTCGATCGCTGCGTCGTAGAAGTGCTTCGCCATGGCCTTCCAATCCTCCGCTGCAAGGCCAGCGGCCCTGAACGCGAACCGCCGGTCGCAGCTCAGGATCTGGCATCTGTTGCGCAGCTCCCTGAATGTCTCCATAAAGCACTCGCGCGACGGGAACCCCGACGGCGCAATCTCGAGGGGCGCCCTCAAGACGCCCGCGCACAGCACAGTGGACATCTCGTCGATGGCCCGCGCCCTGCTGCCCGCGCGCCCAGAGCCGCCCCGCGCGAAGCCCGCCGCCCTCAGGCCGGCCACCGCGTTCCACATTGGTCCAGGGTCTCGCCGCGAAGTGCGACTTCTGGGGTTGCTTTCGCCGAGGCGGCCCGGTCGCCTGCGCCACCTCGTCGGGCCCTGTCGCTGGTCGAGCAAGCGCCCTCGGAGCCAGAAAGAGAAGGCCGCGGAGGAAGACGGGGGCGGGCGAGGGCGAGGGGAGGGGGGTGGCAAGGAGGAGGAGGCGGGATGACGATGGCGACGACGGCGCCGAAGAAGGCAATGGCTGACGATTGCGGCAAGTGTTAGCACGTGGAAGAGGCGATGTGTGATGATGACGGCAACTCCACGCCCGTGGAGGGCCAGGTGGTCGATGTGATATGCGGCCACGATGGCCACCCCGCGCTCGCGGAGGCTGGATTCCCTTTCGCGCCAAGGGTTGAAAAAGAAAGAGAGCCCCAACTACGCGGCGAGCGACCGCCGCTCAATTCTCGGGGCCTCGATCCCCAACGCGCCGCGGCCCTTCCTGGGCGGCGCCCACCTCGGAAGCGGCGGCGCCCGCGGAGCCGTCGGGAACGAGGAGAACGCCGAGGCCTTCGACGGCGAAGGTGTCGCTGTCGCGGTTGCCGTCGAAACGGAAGTGCCCCTGTAAGGGGCGCTGAAGCGTTGCCGTTGATGGCGTCGCTGTCGAAGTCAATAGCGACGCACTGCGGGTGCGGAATTTGCGCGCTTGCCGAACTTGCGCTGCAGGTGGAATGCCTGGTCCTGCGGGGCCTTTTCGAAACATTGGCGCTCGATCTGCCGTGCGTCTGCGTAAGCCCTGCCCCCCCCCCATGCGCTTGTCATGCCTCCATATGTGCCGCTCCGTCCTCCTAATGTTGTCATCCTCTTCTCCGCCGGAACGCCCCCGCCAGAGGAGGGCACGTCGACGCCAGGCGGCCGCGTTGAATCGCTCACCGTGGGCTGCAGGAAAAAACTCTCGCCCCAAATCATCACCGCGACGCGGTCCTTCTTGGGCCATGGCTGCAGACCGACCTTCAGGTTCACTCGGATATTTTTCGCGCTCAGCGCTGCAAGCTCGCAGTCCTGCTCTTCCGGGGGCCGCAGGCAGACTTTCTTTGGCTCCTGGCTGCTCCTGGCAGGTGGCGTCGCGTCGGCAGGTTTCGTTACCGCGATCACCTTCACCTCGGCAAGTTTCGTTTCCACGGTCGCCTTCACCTCGGGAGGTTTCGTCTCCACGATCGTCTCCACTTCGGCGGGTTTCGCCTCCATGTTCGTCTCCACCTCGGCGGGCTGCTTGTCGTCTCCACCTCAGCGGTTTGCCTCTCGGGTTGCTTGTCTGTCAAGCCCGCCTATGATTCGGCGTAGACCGCAAAGGATTTTCCAAAACTGCTCACCAGAGGCATGGATGAACGCTTCCTTGGACTCGATATCCTTCTTGGCGCCGCCGTCAACCATGAAGCTCGGGCCGGGTGGGTCGGTGTGGCGTCGGGGCCCTTTTTGTCGTCGGTCCGGCCTTTGTCTTCGGCTTCGGCGCCATGATTTACTCGACGCCCGTCGGCGGGTTCGCCGCCAAAATGGCGGCGGGCGGCGGGCGGCGCCATAGCGGCATTGATTTGGGCCGCGCCATATCGTTTTTGGGCCACGGGTCTGCCATGGGCGCCGTTTCGGCCCACAATTTGAGCCAAACCGGCTTGATATAACAAACACATTCGGGTATAGGTAAACGTAATGAAAACAATTGAGGCAGTTCAAGACAAGTAATGCAATTAAGTGTACCTAGAAGCTTAGATACAACTAAGGTACATAAATATACATCTCACGGTATATGCATTCATTTGTGCAGTAAAACTAACTCGATGAAAGCAGGTCGTATTTAACCATACCCATGGTTTGATTACGCCTACTAGGTTTCTAAATAGTTCGGGCCGTTTTTGATAATGCATAGTTGCATATAGATGGCCATGTACGTCCCAGTCTACATGAGTGAGTGGGCTATACGTAGACGCTGGCGCGGCCAAGCCCACTTTACCAGGACCAGAACACATCACACAAACATCACATTACGATCCTGGGAACACGTATCATCGGGGCAGTGGCGACGGCACCGGGGAGCGGGAGCCGGGGACTCGCCATCGCTCGGACGTCCATTCCCTGCGCTGTTTCGGTTTCGTGCGTGGTTTTTTCGCCAAATGATCAAGGATGCTCCTCGATGGTCCTCGCCGAAGGAAACATGCACACGTCCGAGCGATGCCAAGGGTACTGGGCGCGGGAGCGCGGGAGGCGGCGGCGGCGGCAGCCGAGCAGCCGCAGAGCGGAAGTAGTTGCCCCGGCGAAGATTCCGCGGAGCGGGCCGGGAGGCCCGAGCGGAGGGCGGCCGCCTTCTCGATGTGCTTCCGCTTGTCGCCCTTCTTCCGGGTCTTGAACGCCTGGTGGGCCTCCGCGGCGGGGCAGGAGGTCGGGAGGGCGGGGGAGAGGGCGGGAGGGCGCAGGCCAGCAGGGCAGAGCAGAGGGGGGGGGGGGGGCGGGGGGGACAGGCGAGGGCCGCTGCGGAAGCCGACGGGGGGACGAAGGGCGGGAGGGCGGCGGGCGTGAAGCGCGGGCAGGTAGTGGGAGCGACGACGGGACGGAAGGAGGGGGGGGCATGGGAGGGCGAAACGGGGCCCTCCTCCGCCCCACCGTCCCCCTCCCGACCCCCCCCCCCTTTTGATCCTCTATCCCCCCCCCCATTCCCCCCCCCCCGCCCATCTCCCTTCTCTCCCCATCTCTGGCCTCCCTGCTTCCATCCTGCGTCCTAAGCCCCGAGCCACCCCCGCTGCCTCGCCCCCCTCCCGCGCCTCTGCCTCCCATTGGGGACTCCTTCCCTGATCGGCGCCGACGGCGCTGGCCCCGAAGGCTCGGAGGGAGGCCAACCCCTTCGCGGGGACTGGCCTTCAGAGGACCGAGTCGTTCTGGCACGGCCCCGGGGCCCAACAAGAGCCCTCGGATGCCGAAGACTGCCAAGAAACCTCCGTCGTGATGCTCGGCCACGGCGCGAGGAGGTCCTCCTGGAAACCCCTCTTGGGGCCCTCCGCGACCCTCCGCCTCCTCTTCCTCCTCGAAACATCCAGATTGGGTTGGTGCCAAGTGCGTTTGGGCAGACCACTCGCGCTCCCCCCCGACCGAAGGCTGGAAGAGAGAGGTTCGGCGAATGTAGCGGCGGCTGAACTTTCGCCGCCTTGACCTAGAGATAATGCATCTGGATACCACCGACATGCCTGGCCAAGTTACTCCTGAACCCTGGCATGAGATATACGTCGACCGTCCTGGCCAAGAGCAGGGCTGTCTGCATGCCATCCTTTGGGGAGGCATCTCCTGGGATGCATTCATTCGTCAGACCCATGAAAGGCTATAATGCCCGATTCAAGGGCCGTGGAGCCATATCAGGCCAAATTAAGCCCACTATTAGCCCGGACTACACGGGATTCGACGATTTTGGGCAAGTTTAAGACCAGGGCTATCCAAGCACCGGTTCTGAATTTGACATTCCAAGAATTGTATCCTTAATTCTTGGGCCAGTGTGGCCTGGCCAGGCACGTAGGTGGTGCATAGATACATTCAGCGGAAAGCCCCCCTTTGGGAACCCTCACCCTCCAACCCTCCGCCTCCTCCGCGAACTCTTATGCTGCATCTTCGGTGGTGGGGGAGGGGGACTGTTTGTCCAGTCGCATTGCTATTCGCGTCGAATCCGTGCCAAATCCACGAGCGCACATCGAAGCGGCAACGAATCCATGTCGAACCCGCGTCCTCCTGGCGTCCGCCTCGAATCCATTCGAATCCGTGTCGAAGCTAGGTTCCCAAGGCGGTGGATTTATACAGTCCGTGTCGAAGCCAGGTTCCCAAGGCGGTATTATTCCAGTCGCCCGTACTTTGCTTGTTGTCCTCCACCATGGGCGGCTAGAATATGAACTACATGGGCGACGCCTTCGGAAGTCCGCGCGGATCTCGTAGATCGGCAAAAAAGGCCCCATCCGCTTCAAGCGACGTCCCTAGCGCGCTCCGCGCGACACAGAGAAGAGACCAGCGCCAATCCAAGAAGTCCGCTGGGACCTCCGAACTGTCATGCCTGTGTCTTTGTTCCCTTGTTCGAATGATGAGAAAGGGGACAAACGAATTGAGCCTGCATACGGTGAACTCGTGTCGTGACGACCTCGGCGTTGGTTTCTGATAGCGCCGGATCTTCGATCGCCAGATCGTTCCGTGTTGGACGATTTTTCGCAACTGCCGGCGTTCAGCCTTGACCGCTCGCTGCGGGTTCATAGCTGCGTCGACACGAGACGACCTTGCCGTAGCTGTCCTTCTTTAATCCCCCGCCCACGCTGCCTTCTGTTGCCACTTTGGGGGACCTTGTCTGTCACATCGCGCCAAACATCCGTGTCGCATCCATGTCGAACGCGTCAAGTCCGTGTCGTGTCGAAACCACGTCGGATTCACGTCGAATCCGCGTCGAACCCGCGGCGGAGGGCAAAAAAAAACTGCCATCTACAGGACAAAACGAAGAAAACCGTTTTGCATTATTGGCGATAGCCCGGGCTATCCGCTGGGGGGGGAGAGAGGTGCCAGCCGATAGCCTACCCTTTCGCTGCCGAAGATAACCTGGTCGATCGCCGGACCCTAACAAAACAACCTTCAACTTAAAGTGGCAATCATCCTTCGATCTCCCGCCCAGAAATTATTGCATCTTTTGGGGACCTCGTCTGTCCTGTCGCGCCAACCATCGGTGCCGCATCGAAGTCGAGTCCATGTCGAACGCATTGAATCCGTGCCGAACCACGTCGAATTCGCGTCTAACCCACACCAGAGCACAACAAAAAATACAGCCCATTACAGGACAGGGAAGATAGAGGCTTCCTAGATGGGGTCCGAGTGGGTAGATGGGGTCAGAGGATTGCGCCGCATCGGCGATGCATCGGCGATGCATCGGCGACGTCGGCGATGCTCGGCGACGCCAGCGTGGAGAAAATCACGCTCCATATCGAGACGCGTCGCCGATGCAGCGGCGATGTGGCGCAATCCCCCGACCAGTCTGCTCCGACCCCATCTGGGAGGCCACGAGAAGGCCCCCGAATACGCAACAGACCCGTCCCCCTGCCAGGGAGGGGCGGAGAGGCCGCGCCTCGGCGATGCCTGCCTGCACGAGCGCGTCCTCGCGGGGCGCGCGCTCTCGCGGCTCGAGGGGGCAGGGGAGGGGGGGGGCCACGGCCGTGCGGGTCTGGCGCCAGACGCACTGCGGCAGTGCCACGGACGCACTGGGGGTGGAGTGGCGTTCTGCCCTGGGAAGGGGGGCACAACGCGCCTTATGGCCGGGAGAGTAACAGGAACACTCTCGAGGAGGAAGGGGAAAAGGGAAGGAGATGGCGGCGCTACCGGTATGGACACGGATTGTGGGATCCACAAAGGAGCTCCTCGTTCGAGCGGCCCCCCCCCCCATCCGACAACACACACACACAGCACCCACGGAACTCCCCCCGACAACCGTTGGGGTCGCATAAGTATCGGTGCTAGTTGTCAGCTCGTGGGAGCGGCAACTCCTTTTTGATCTGCGCCGAGTTGGGTCCAACAAGCGGTCAGGCTAACAGCGGTGCGTGTCCGTAGCTGATCGCGGCGAGAGCGAAGAAAAGGGGCAACGAGGGGGAGGCAGCGGCCGCGGAACGGACGGCGCAGGCAATGCAGATCAGGCTGGGCACAGCGGAACCCCGACGGCGGCAGACGCAGCAGGACACCGCGCGAGAAGGCAGAAAGGACCCAAGACCATCAGGGTCCCGTAGACCCGGACACGCTAGACCCGGACACCCAACATCCCTCGAAACCGCAATTTCCAAACGGTGGTACGAACATAATACTGCACTGCAGCAAAAACGTGACCTTGCAGGAAAGGATGTCGTTTCCTTGGTTTTCCGTGTCCTGGTTTGTCTGTGTCCTGGTCTCCGGGGACCCAAAGACCACGCGGGCGACGCGCGACCGGGCGCAAGCAGCCAGGTACAGCACGCGCATGGGAAGCGCCCGAAAGGCTGAGCCCAAGGGCGAACACGGGCGCCCCCATCTGCAGAATGCCCGGGGACCGACCGAGAGAACAAAACACATGCCAGAAGCGACCGGACAAAGCGCGAGCACAGCTGACTACCTACCAGACCACCCCAACCCAACCCGAAGACCCGAATTTGACCCGAATTTCGGGTTGGGGGGGGGTACGGATACCACGTGTTTTTTCAACGTTCCCTGACCCCCCCCCACTGGAAATCGAGGATAAATTTGGGCCTTCGGGTTGGGTTGGGGTGGTTTGGTGGGTGGTGAGAAGGGACCCAAGACCACGCGGGCGACGCGCGACGGGACGCAAGCAGCCAGGTACAGCACGCGCACGGGAAGCGCCCGAAAGGTTGAGCCCAAGGGCGAACACGGGCGCCCCCATCTGCAAAATTGAAGGGGAACTGGAACACACAAATAAATACACACAAATAAACATATCCCCCATATTTTCCCATATTTTCTGGGTTTTTGTCTTCCCCACCACTTCCCATATTTTTGCATATTTTCCTGGGAGTCGACGATTAATTGTGTCTGTGTGTTTCTTTCCCTCCTGAAAAATGCCCGGGGACCGACCGAGAGAACAGAAAACATGCCAGAAGCGACCGGACAAAGCGCGAGCACAGCTGGGTGCAGGGCTGACGACGGCCTGGGCGAACGCGCACGGCCGACGAACGACTGGCCCAGCAGGCCAGGGCGAGAGGCGCAGCGCGTGTCGCGCCTTCCTCGCCAAAAGCTGAACTCCGAGTGCTCGCGGCCAGTCCAACTGTCAGCAGGCTGAGCAATGCCGCCCATGGACGCAAGACCAGTGGCAACGCGAGACAAGACAGGGAAATAGACGACATTGCGCGAGCCAGGCGAAGGCTAGCAAGGCAAAGCCAATTGAATGAGCCCTCTGGCGCGCCAGTCTGAGCGCTGCGGCTAAACCGAGCCACAACGCGCCCTATTACTTCGAGCACAAAGGGCGCCAGCATCACGTGGGAAGCAGCGCGAGACAGCGACAGTGGAGAGGATTGCGCTGTCGTCAGCATCGCCAGAACCAAGGGGCCCACTGCGACTAGGCGCGCAAGGTGCATCGTCGAGTTCGATAGGCAGCGGCCAAACATACATACCTTTGAGATTTGGAATTCCTGGCACGCTGCAAAAGGCACCAACGTCCCAAACCACTGCGGCCAGTGCGCTTTGGGTCGCACAAGCGTCGCCACTCGAAGACGCAGCGAAGACTAGCGTGGGCTTTGCACCTGGCGCAACCGAGCAAGGTTGAAAGATCGCTGCGCTGATGGGCCAAAAGACGGCGCCCTGACTTCGTCACTTCCTGAATAGCAGGTGGAGGTTCGCCGCGTGGTCCACCTGCTGCGGGCTTCTGAGGTGTCCTACGGCAATGCGAGCAACGCGCGCGTCGCCGCGCGCCCCTCCACCAATCCCGCCGGCGCGCACAGCCCGGGGGGCAGCGGCGGCGGGGCGGGCTGCTCGCGCGTAGCTTCGGGGTGTCAAACCTCGGCCAACTGGGCAAGGCATCGGCAGCAACGAAGCAAACGGCCTAACCAATTTCACGAGCCGGCAACTATGATTACACTCGCCCTGCCGAAACTGAAGGCGGAGAGAGGAACCGCGCCTGGCAGCTCGGTCTGCAGCGTCGCCGCCCCCCCCTCGCGAACGCTTTGCTGGGCGGCGGGATCGGGCAAGTCAGCCGCGCGCGCCTCGACTTCGCGGAATCCCCGCGGCGTTCAGGCGCGGCGGGCAGCGGTTGTGACTGAGACTGCGCCCGCGTTCAGGAGCACGGCCCTAAGTCCACGCACCGTCGCAGGCGATCGGTCGGATGACGCCGCGCTGGAGCGGAGGAAAGACCGAACGGCGCCAATTCTGAGGCCGCAACGTCGATGCACATCCTACACACGCCGAGCTCGTCCCCAACAACCCTCTGGCGCGAGCGGATGGCGCCGTCTAGGGGGAAAACAAACCTACCTCGCTTTTGACCACCCTCGTTTCCAAGAGATACCAAACGATGCCAAATTGCAGCCTGTACTGGTCAGGCCGCTTGACGAGGAGGCGCGTGGTATGGCTTGGTTTTGCCTGGAAGCGAAAGCGGGGTAGGTAATTCACGCTCTGACCGTCGAAGAGCAGGTCGCCCGCGGGCGCGGTCGCGGGCAGGGCGCGGCCGCCGAGGTCATGGACCAGCGCGCGCCGCTCGGACATCCCACCTCTCCGGGCAAGAGCACGACGCATGTGAAGGGGCCCTGGGACACACAAATAAATACACACAAATAAAAATATTACCATATTTTCGTATATTTTCTGGGTTTTTGTCTTCCCCACCACTTCCCATATTTTCTTATATTTTCTGGGAATCGACGATTAATTGTGTCTGTGTGTTTTTTCCCCTCCTGAGCATGGCCTGCGCGGGCCCAGTCGCGCGACGCCGGGAAGGGCCAGGGCGCGGGCGCGCCCCGGGGCCCGCCGTAAGAAAGGGAGCGGAACAACGCGGCCCGAGAGTGCCGCCGGAACCCCCCCGCGCCCCAGTGGAGAGAAGAAGCAAAAACGCCCAGGGGGCATTTTCCCAGGCGCGCAGGCGGAATGCCGAATGGAGAAACGCGGTCCGAGAGCGTCGACTGAACCCCCCGCTTTCCCTCGGAAAGGACAACAAAAAAACGCGGGGCGTCGGCCGACGGGGGATCGCCCCGTCGGGCCACCCCGGCGGAGGGCGAGGGCGGGGCGCAGGGCGGAGGGTTCGAGGGTGGAGCCAAGACCACCCCGAGCACGTGAAAGCTCGCAGTCGGAAGAACCGCCAATTCCAGCGTCGCAGTCGAGCCCGGCCAAGGGCCCAAAACAAAAAAAAAAACGGCCGCGGCCCGCCACGCTGCCCGGCAAGCCGCTGAGTAAAAACAAATAAATGAAATGCGCTTGCGCCCTCCCCGCCCCCCCCCGCCCCGGCCGCCCCCCGGGTTCGCCGCGGGCGGGGCAGAATGCCCAACTGGGGGCACGAGGGCGCGCCCGACGCGATTGCCGCGATGAGAAGAAGAGCAGATAAAGAGCTGCCCGGCCTCAAGAGATGCCGAACGGCGCGCTTCAGTAACTCAGCGGCAGCGCGCGCGACAGAGCCAGCGGCGGAACGCGGGCGGCCTTGAAGAGAAAACCCGCGGTCATCGAGGTCGAAGGAAGTAAAGGGAAATTAGGACACACAAATCAATACACACAAATAAAAATAGTCCCCATATTTTCCTATATTTTCTGGGTTTTTGTCTTCCCCCCAATTCCCATATTTTCCTATTTTCCTGGGAATCGAGGATTAATTGTGTCTGTGTGTTTTTGTTTCCCTCCTGGGGAAGGGGCGACGCAGGCCCCCGAAAAACTGCCGGCGCCTGGGCGCCCAGCCGAGACGCCGCGCCGGGCGCGGGCCGGCCCCCCCAAACCGTGGACCCTGGAATGAGACAGCGCGGCGCTCTGTACATGGCGACGCCTGCCGGGGCAATCTGCGGCGGAAAGCTGGGGCGCTTGCGGCGCTGCTCAAGCTTGTCTTAACAAGGGATGAGTCGACCCCTATCCCAGGCTTCGTGGGGTTTTCGAATGGACCAAACATTTGGGGCCCAACCCTGGGATATATGAGGCGGGGGCATCCATCCTCGATAGGGGTGCGTCGGAATAGCCCCCTGGGGGTGTATCCCAGGGTTCCCCTCCTTTTCTTAGCCGCGTCATTTTTCGTCGAAAAGGCTAGGGTTGGGATGGGAACATCGCCTGCGATGTCTGGACGCGCGGCTGCAGAAAATCATGGCCGAGGAAAGAAGCTGCATGATGCCTGGGACTTGCGAGCTGCTTCCTCCGACTTGAGCGACTGGCGCCGCGCGGGGCCGGAAGCGCCCGAGAACGCAGGAGCAGAACTGGTAGAGGCCGCTGACGCTGGCCTCCCAGGACTGGAGGGCGGGCCGCCGCGGCCCCCCCCCCCCCCCCCAGAACCTGGAAGACGAAGGGGCAACGCGGATTTGCTCAGGGACCGCGCTGGCGCATTCCATGATTGACCAGAGGGCCATCGGGATATGGAGGGGGTGCCACGAAGCATGGCGGCGAGCCCCGGGCGCATTCTAAATCGCGCCAGGCCCCTACCAAGGAAGAAGGCTGAGATGCCGC